CTTGTATTCAAATCACTTCCTAAAATCATTATTCTGAATTTGTCCATTTAAAATATTTATTTTAGAAAGGAGGGGTTGGCCCTATATTTCCAATTTTAGAAAAACAACTAAATTTCATATTAAAAGTAATTCAGTAAATTATCTTTTTTTGTACAGGTTTTCATTTTCAAATGATTCTTCTAATTCTGTGTTCTTACTTTGCTTTCTACTCTAAGATTTCCTTGAAACCATTTAAGATAATATTTTAGCACAACGGAGCTGGGACATTTTGAGTGCTTTTTATTTTTTGTTTAAACATTTTTTACAACAAAATGGTTACCTTTTCTTTTCATTTTTTTTCTTTTCTTTTCTTTCTCTCAAATGTCATAATATTGCAAAAGGTTTAAGCTATATAATATGTTTTATGATAGTTATTAAAGTAGATCAAAGGGTTATAATTTTTTTTCTCTTCTGTATATGGTTATGTACTTGATTACTGTGCTGGCTCAAGTTAACTTTTATTGAAGATTATTTGAATAGCAGAAGATGCCTTCCAACAACTAAGAAAAATGTTAATAAACTGGAATATTTCAGCAGTTTGACTTTTCTTTTTTTCTGATATGTAATATCAATCCTATATGGCACTGAATACTGTATCATTTCCTCATAAATGTTAAGACTTGAGCCAAGCATCCTTCTACTGAAAGATGCTGAGAATACCATGGGCATTGCCTTTGAGCAAATGTGAAAGGACAGTTGAAACTTTTGAGATGCATAAGAAATGAGGACAGTGAAGACAAGAGGAGCAGAGGAAAACAGCTTGCATGCTTAACTAGCTTGTGCAAATGGATGGCAGAATAGGCAGGGGGAAGTATAGTAAAAAAAAAAAAAACCTTGCTAAGAACTGCAAGGGTAAGAACTTGTGGAGAGCTTTGATCCTCCATGTCCTGAAAGGACATGGTACATTAGTCAGTATACTGTTTCTATATTATTGCTCTAAATGATCTCATCTTTGCAGATTTTTTAACATTTGAAGCAGGATAATTTTATCACTTTGCACTAAATTATTAAATTATGCAAGTCAATATTTTCACAAGGTTAACATTTTCAGCATATATTTATGTGGTAAATATTTTGTGAATTTTAGCTTATCTGTTAGAAATATTTATAACAAACTTAGTAATGTAACATTTTATTATAAAACTCATTGTTCACCATATAAGGGTCTGTTAAAAAGTAATGCCTGTTAATTAAACAGTTTTGCATATGGATAAGAAAGCAGCCAAAAAACTTCTAAGATACAGAGGTATACATAGCCTCTTCCATTCTCAATTGTCATTTTTGAATGAGGACGTGTCTACAACTAACAATTTGGATTCCTGAGATTTTGATGTTCTACTAAATCAGTTGTTAAAAATGTAATGAATATTTTTTGTTTTGGTTTTTTGGTTTTTTTCCAATAAATGCAAAATCAAACAAGTACAAAAATTTAAATATCTGGAAAGTGTTTTAAAAGAGGACATAAAGTGTGACACTGAAATCAAGATGCATTGGGATAGCCAAAGATGCCTTCCAAAAGCTGAGCAGAGTAATAAGAAACAGAAAAAACTTCATTAGAAACAAAGAAAAGATTACTAAAACTATTACATTATATCTATCCTCCTATATGGCAGTGAAAACTGGACAAAGATGAAGAGACTTGAAGCATCAGAAATGTGGTTCTACAGAAAGATGCTGAAGATACAATGAACTGAACATGTGAACAATGGCAATTTTTTAGAGAAAACAAAAAGGAAACTCATACTTAACATCAGGAAGAGACAGTTGAAATTTCTAAAGAAAATAATGAAGAAGGGGTGCTTGGATAATCTGATACTCAAAGGATAGATTGATGGCTAGAGAGACAGTAAAATGGCACATAGCATATTTGATGAGCTTAAGTAAATGAATGGTGAAACAGGGTTTAGGAGAAATAACAAAAAGACAAAATTTATTAAGAGCTCCAAAAGAAAGGAAATTGTTGGACACCATGATCGCCTATGTGTTGAGGGGATACAGCATATAAAGAATAATAACATTGATATATATGTTTAATTAAATGTTTGGATTGCCATGAGTTTTAAGAAAGATATAATCTCAAAGAGAAACCAGGTATTGTAAATTTTTGATTCTTTTGAGGGATGGGAACACCACTTTGGAAATTTGTAGTAAGAAATGAACACTCAAAAGAAATTGGAAAGAACAAGAAAAACAAAACTGGCTCCAGCAATGTTGCAAAAAATGTAAAAGGATAATAAGCAAGTAAAGTGGATTGATCAGCAAGAAAATATTTTAAAAAGCTGCTGTCATAAATATAGGTTCTCAGTGGTAAGTTTTAATAATGAATGTAGAGCTACATTGGCTGAATCAGATGGCTGGACTAGACATTAAGTCCTTTTTGGAAATAGTCAACTAAGAGGATTTAGAGGGCAACAGTGGAGAAGGTTGAGTAATTGTAGGGGGGGAGGCTCATATTATAAGCAGTAAAATTAAAGGTTGTATTGATGATGATATCAAGATAACAACAGAAATATTGTAAGTTTTTAGTCTTTTTTTTTTCTTTTTCTTTTTTGTTTAGTTGTACAGGTCATAGCATCAAAGCATATTTTTGCAAGACTATCACTCAGCTTGCCAAAATGCTTTCAAATATACCAAATTAATAGAATCCCCTCAGCCTCTTCAGATTATCCAATATAAAACTTATGGTTCCTCATTAAAAGATATATATTAGAATGGAAAATAATAGTTGAGCAAAAAAGATATCTGGGGAAAGCAATAAAATCTGTAATGAAGTAATGTTAAAGTTGAAACCATATAAATGTAAACCAGAAAAATGGGTAAAATACTGATTAAACTTATGGAATATCAAAGAGCCCATATCCATGTAAATTAATAATTTATTAAGGTCTGTGGGATACTGTTAATGAGGTATGTTTTTCTGGCCTCTATCTTTTGGATTTATTTATAAGTAAATATTCATTTTGTATTTTTTTATTCATAATAAAAACTGACATCCACAAAATAAGATATCAATATTTTCAACAATAATACCTTATTTTTACAGAAACTGACATGATATATGTAAATATATTTAGAAAATGTTAACAACTTTGGTTGGCTAATATCAATTTTGTTGTGAAAACAATGATCTACTAAATAAAATGCCATAGTGGACATGACCAAATATTTTCTCTGGTTTCTCTCCTACTTTATAACTGGCCAAGTGTAAAGAACAGAAACTGTTTTCACATGCGCATATATATATATATATATATATATATATATATATAATCTGTAAAGAGTGAGTAAAATAGGACATATGGACTTAGTGTAAAAGGATCTGATGCTTTGCTTTGAGTATTTCGGAGAGGAAAAAATACACAAATACTTTTCTGTTAGACAAGTTAAAGGGGCTAATCTTTTAATAATCTAATATTATTCTAATGAAAGGCCTAAAGTTTGTTTTTTTTTTTTTTTTTTTTTTTTTTTTTTTTTTTTTGTTGTTTTCAAAAAACCTTTTTGCAATCTAGCATTGAGCATTTTGACATTTGAACATCTTTTATTTCTCAAATCATTAGATAAAAAATGGACTATAACCTGTGCCTTTGGGACAGTTTTATAAGATTTTTTTTCTCTTTAAGCCTGCATTCAGTGAGATGCACCTGGATTTTTATTTCTTATTTGGTCAAGACATTCATGAGTCTATCACACCAACCATCACTGTCTTGCATCAAAGTTAGAAGGTTGATATTGTGTTATAACTGGTCAATGTAAGTGGTTGCTGAGTGACCAACTCTTGTTCTATGGCTAGGTGTTCAAAATAATAGATCACTTGCAAGCTCTTGCTTTGCTTGCCAGCAGTATCCTGCAAAGCACATAATATTGTAGAAATATCAGGGATGGGGCCATAGAGCTGTGATTTAGTCGAATGTTGTCTCCAAGAGATGTTAAGTATAGACACAATCATCTGAGTGTAGGTTCCATCAACCTTAGACTCTAGGGTTTTAGTTAATGTCCAGGCACTGGCTTGTTTCATCTTACATGCAAAGTTATCACAAAAAATAACTTTTTAAGATTTAACACATCACATACATCTGTTCAATAAAATGAAGCCATTTGTAATGATAGTGTATAAAATCAAAAGTATCTTGTTGGTTGAAAAAGAAAGAGATATATATATATATATATATATATATATATATATATATATATATATATATATATATATATATGTGTGTGTGTGAAACTTAGACCATCATACCTGCAAGAAAAATCAGTGCATGTACAATCACCAAAGTTAAGCAACATTGAGCTTGGTCAGTACCTAGATGGGTGAACATTTGGGAATACTGATAGCTGTATGCTTAGATGCAATGGATAATAGCTCAGAATTGAAAATCAGAGCAGACTTCCAATTCCAGTTGTGTTCGTTATATTCACTCGTACGCAAATACCATTCAGAAAGATATGAATTCAACTCTTCTCCCCACTCCCCCAGCCATTAATTAGTAGGAATTGTATCAGTAAATTATTATCTCCAAAAACTTCTCACAATTTAAAACTTTCCTGGCTTTAAATAGCCTGCAAAAAGGTTGAAGCCATTAAAAAAAAAAAAAACAAATGAATTACAATCCCCAGATTCCATTAACTTTGTAAAGTTCTTCTCTTTTATCATCTTAGGTGGGTTATGAACACAGTTGGGGCCTAAATTAAAAACAAGCTGGGTACATTTAAGTAACAATTGTTATTTAAGTCCATTTTTTTTATGCTATTTCAAAGTACTTTGTCATCTGGTAATGGGACTTATAGCATGTTTATAGCTTTATTTTTAATTTTTTTCTTTTTTATATTGTTTTAACACTACAGAGATGCTTTATTGCATGAACCTCACAATGCATGGGTGTATCTCTTCTACCTATATCTTTCAGTTACTTTGTAATATACTAATTTCTTAATTCTGTTTTTCTTTTTCTCTTGTCCAGTGCGCATACCCCCTATGATTTCATCCATCTTTCCAGAAAAATATTACATGCCTTATATCGCAGGTAATAGGTGGAACATGGTTATCTACAAATGTGACCAGTATAGTGGAATACCAGAACCAACGTAAGTATCTTTTTTTTTCATTTTTTTTTTTTTTTTTTTTTCAAACTTAGTTTCAATAATTCCAAGATATTTTCATAAGATTTTCAAAACCAAACTTGATTTTCTTGGTTAATTACTGAGCATAACACCACTTCATATTAAAATTAGAAAAGTTAAGCTTAAGAAATGTTATATCATTGTGTAATATAAAATAATTATTGAAACCATGTATGTTTTGTGGGCAGAGTAGATATTTTAAAATAAGTTGATACTGTTTTTTTTTTTTTTTTTTTTTTTTTTTTTTTTTTTTCCCAGATAATGTTTTAAAGTAGATGTTTGTTTAATGTGTAGAGGCCAGTTGGTTGGTCACTTGCCTCTCGAATTTATATTTAACACAAAATACCACAAAATATAAAACAATAAGAAGGAACACAAAACGGTTTTTATAACAAAACAAGATTTATATTTAAGTATATAATGATGTACAAGCATAGGGGTTACTTCCCTTTGACTGGAATTAGTCTTTTTATCTGAGCTCATAAAAAGTTGAATGAACTTGCTGCTCAAAATGTTCACTGTGAGAGAGTTGAAAGAATTCTGTAAAGCTGAAAATATGTTGATAAACTTTTAGCTTCAGAAGAATTGAAGGAGTGAATGTTCTGTAATGTTCGTGATTAAGTTTCTGTTACATGTAGTTGAATATTTGTAATGATTGTAATAAAGTTTCCGTTGCTTGTAATGTTCGTAATTAAGTTTTGTACGTTCTTACATATGTGCATGTGTGAATATGTTTTCATAGCGTTTGCCAAACTATGGTCGAAACACAATATCTTAAACAGCTACAATTTTGTAAGTGAGAGAAATCAAAAAGAAGACAGTATGAATTTGTGTCTGGTATTTATAATCAACATAATCACGTGACAGATGCTGGAGAAAGAAGCGCAAAATTTTGACCACCAATACACTGCCACTCCCAATGCCACTGCACCACTCTCAAAAGAGGTTAGAGTGACTTCATCACAACAACTGAAGTTCTCAGGTATCAGCATTGAAATGTTGCCAAAAATCACAATTGTGCAAACAAGGGCATGTAAAAAGTATAAAAGACTATAAGCTTTCAAAGACCCTATTGTTGTGTGAGTTTACCTTTGTTCAATGCAAAAAGGAAGTGAGACAAAAAATGAATTCCCTAAAAAGGACTCTTGTCATTTTGAGATTAACTACCACAAATGGGAAATGAAGCTTTGTGTGTATGCGTTTTATATATATATATATATATATATATATATATATATATATATATATATATATGTGTGTAAAAAATATATAGAAAAATAGGAAAGAACTCATTAGGTAAATAATCCAAAGTTCTTTAGTATTTTTGTTATTATTTTTAAATATATATATATATATATATATATACACACACGCACACAGGCTACCTGGCATTGTCCAAGTGGAGAAAATAATGTATCATATAGCAGTATAGTAAAGATTGATCGTTAATATATATTTTCTAAATTAATAAGAAGAATTTAACAGTTATTTCTTAATGGCTTCTCTATATTTATTCATCATGAAGAACAAAAAAAAATGCATAAACCAATTTTCAGTAAGTAAATTCAATTAACTCAAAAACTACTTAGATACCCCTGGATTTACAGCTAAATCCAGGGGTATTTTATCATAGAAACATTTACCCAAAGATATCTTGTGTTCCCAATAATTCAGTTACCTATAACCTCCAATTTAATGTTACAGATAGATCTATCACAGTTTGTTCATATCTCTCTTTATCTCAGTGTCTTCATATTTATCTATCTAAAATTATTCATTTAAAGTGTTTTTTTGTTTTTTCGTTTTGTTTTTTTCTGACCATAAAACTTTTCTTCAGGTAGTATGAAATAATCTTTCACAGTTACTCTCTCCACCTTCACATTTTGACAGTTTGTATTACCTTTCTCTCTCTCGCTTTACAGAATAAGTTGGCAGTATTTTTTGAATGGAGTTCTGCAACATTGGAGTTATGGAGATCACCTGCAAAAAAGCTTCAATGGAAGTCAACTGAAGCTCAAATACATTAATCCTAATGAGCAATTTCAATGTAAGGCAACTAATATATACGGAACTGCACTTTCAACCAAAATTCGAATATACCAAGCAGGTAAGTTTTGTGTTAGGATATTATAGATACAGGTAAGATAAGACTCACACAACCATTCCAAACTGTTGAGAATTTATACCAGTTAGTTTGGATTGGGTGTACGGTTGTTTTATCTCTCTCTCTCACACATATATATATATATATATATATATATATGTATATATATATATATATATAGAGAGAGAGAGAGAGAGAAGGAAATAGCCAATGCATTTTCAGCCTTTGATGTCATTTATCAAGACAAATGTAAGGGTTTTATTTTGCAACAAGTATTTGTAAACAAAAGTAAAAATGGTAGTTTTTCAGAATTTTTCAATTTAATAAACACTCATAAATATACATCAGGCTAACTGAAAAGTCAAGGTAAATTATGGAGGCTGTTTAATGATATACTTTAATATCTAACAAACAAAAGAATTGCAGGTAGACCATGGGAATCCAGAGACAACATGCAATAAAACAGTTTGGACACATGTTCTTATTTCTGTTTTCATACTGCCTACTAACAGGTGAAGAATATCAGTTTGAGTTTCAAATAAAATCAACTGAAATGAAGATGAAAGAAATAACCAGTTGAAAAAAATATCACCTGACACTGTTTCATCTAGGACTGTGCTTCACCAATTGTGTGGCATGGTGCACCTCATATATGCCTTGAAAGAGGATAGCAGATGAGGTGGAATGATTAAAAGACAAAGATTTAGAAACAGTTTCAAAATTTAAAATAATATTATTACTTCTAATTGCATGCATGAGTCTCAGTATAAATAGTTATAAATAATTATTGACCAATTTTATCATCATGATATTTTTGCATTATATCAAGTATTAAGAATATATTAAATAGGGTCTGCAAATTGGAGGAGAGAGTTGTCAATGATAATGTTGACTTTGAATCCGTGGTTATCTCCCTTTAATCCTCTCTCTGTTTTTTTTTTTTTTTTATTTTTAAATGTACTTTTTAATCACAATTTGGTGAGGTGCAAGCAAATTTTAATTCTGAAAATGCAGCTCAGAAGAAAAAAATTTGGAAACCACTGATCTAAGAAATTTTAAAAAATGTTACTAATATGCTTTATGCTTCTGTCAGATTTTATTATACAAGTGAATGTTTACACTACAAAATTGATATTGTATAACATATGTTGTCAAAAAAGCTCTAAAATTGTAAAGAAAGATTGTTTGCAAATGCAAGGAAAACCTAAATTTGTACTGAAAGATTGTTTCTGATTTGTCAGTCAAGTAAACGTGTTACGCCATAAGGCAAACAGGATGTTCAATAAACAAAATAAAATATCTTCATGTTCAAATGCTTCTATACAATGAAAACCAATTTTTCTACAAAAAATTTTATAGAAAAAAAAATTAAAACTGGAATTTGATGAATGAATGTGTAAAGATGAGGTAAACTCAATGAATCTAGCTAAACTGATTAATGAAGGCTCTACTTGAACCAACTGCTTATGTCTTGTTTTTCTTCTGTAGAGGGAGCCTCTTTTAACATCTCAGTGAAAAGCAACCCCGTCACATATACTGCAAAAGTCGGAGATCCACTTTTGGTACCATGTCTATATAACAGTGAAGGAATTCCAGAAGGTACTTTCTTCTGGAAAGTAAAATCTGAAAATGGAGAAAAATCTGTGCCATTGGAAGACAGAATATTTATTTCTGAGAATGGTAAGTTAGGGTATTATTTTCTTTTGCATTCTGTTTTTAAAGCCTGCTGTATTTTATGATAAAAGTTTATAACAGTCTTTATGATAGTTGTTTATAATACTGACACTCCTCACTTAATGACTCAATTCCATTCTAATGTCTTGGTTGCTAAGTGAGAAGTTATACTTGACCTCCCCCCTCCTCGTCTTGGGCATGCTACATGCATAATAGGTTTGTGTCAACCAGCTTCAGATAGTTTTAATGTCACTTTTGCACTATTTGTGACATTTCTAATTTATTTCTAAATGTTTGCATACTGTAAATATTTTTCATTTTATTGATTTTGAAGAAAGTACAACATACGATGCTGACTGGTTGGATTTTTTTTAATGATGTCTTATAACTGGTTGTAAGTATGGGGGGTCATTAAACAGGTAAGTTGTTAAGAAGAGGCTGTAATTTAGCAGGAATTTCATATTTAGCAGAAAGCGATGGCAAGATAAAATTGTAACATGTTTTTCTACATTAATGCATTTAGTAGTTGGATAAGAATGATTCATTCTTCCATTAATGTTGTTAACTTGAAGCACACTGACCCTGCCACAAATTGCTCCAGAATAAATGGAAACATACAAGACAGTTAAGATTATAATAAATATCCACAACCTTTCCACTTTTTATTGCTTCTAAAGTTTTCACTTGATTCTCTGTTTTTCATTAATATTTCTTATCAGACTTATTTTTGTGTGCTTTATATACATAAAGCAAAGATGAGAATTTCTGCATCAGTACTCATTTATGGCAATCTCTTTTAAATGATTTCATTTAATTGTTTTTCATTGAAAGTAAATTTTCATTGTCCAAATGTTCATTTAATTCAGTACTTTTTTTCTTAATATTTCCATTTTTATAGGCAGCTTGGTATTTTCCTATGTGAAACTCAGTGATGGTTTAAACAAGTTGTATACCTGCAATATTGAGAATAAAATTTTGAACATGGTTTTATATGGAAGTTGGACCAAATTAGACATACAAGGAGGTTCAGGTAGGGATCTTCTCTAAATGATCTTAAATTTAAATAGTCTTTTTTAGTTTCATCAAAATGGTAGAAAATCTGTGTATGTATATGTACTAAAAAAGCCCAGCAATGTGTTGGAGTGACCAACAGACAATTTGCCAGATGATCTAATACCTTTATACAGGAAAAAAATCCCAAAGAAAAAAGAAAGACCAAAGGGGTAAAAACCTACCTAAAAATTAAACAGTGCGCAATGCCTAGACTATCTCAACAGAGCAAAAAAAATGCTTCACAACTTCAACACTCAATGAAGAACAGATAGTCACAACTCCAGTTTCACGCCCCTCATGATGTTCAACATATATTTACTTTTTTTTTTTTTTTTTAAGAATAGAAATGAACTAACATTTTTGTCTTTGAACAGAAACATTTTTTATTTTATTTTTTTTTTTTTAATCATTTCACCCCAGGCACAAGGCAATAATGCCACTAAGACAAAAAGGGTCACTGAATTTGAAATGATATGGGGGAAAAAGAAAACATTAAGAAAACATGATAGAGAACAATAAAAAAAAATTAAGAAAACATGATAGAGAACAATAAAAGAACAGAAATTAAGAAAACATAACAATTGACATTGCATTTAAGTTTTTTGATGACCAAAGTTGATTGAAAGCCAGAAGAGACTTCCACAAGTGAGAAGTACAAGAAAATTGTTAGCATAGAACTTAGTTACATCTAGCCATTTCAACTCCAAAATGACAAGACTTGGCTGCCAACCTAGTACTGGACTTAAACTCATAAATTCTAGATGCCAAAGAGAAAAGCTACCATGAAAATATTTATAGAAAAGGCACAAGGAAGCTAAATTACAATGGTGAAAAAGTGATTGATGCCAGGTCAGGACCAATAACATTGCAGATTCTTCTTTGGATTTTATCAAGAATCTCTTATTATAGAGCAGGAGCAACATACCAGATGTGGCAACAATATTCAATGCTTGGACAAATAGTAAATTTATAAATATATAAAATAGATTCTGTTGAGAAAAATTATCTGGCATGACACAGTGAATCATCTTTCCAAGCAGAAGGCCTAGTAATTGTTTCAATATAATCTTTCCACTATATATTATCCAAAGCAATAATTCTTAATTTTTCTTACTCATAATGCACTTTAGAAGTGCACTTTATATGTAAGTATAAAATGTATTTGAATATATTTATACATTTTAGCTTATGAAAATAATTTAAGCTGCAGAACATTATTAGTAATTAATTTTTCTGTTCAGCAAATTAATGATGGTTATCCAGTCATATCTACTTTTGCTATACAATTTGCAACTGTTAACACCAATTATATCATCACATACTGAAATAATGAATATAAAACAAAATTATGGAAACTTGTTCTTTTTGTTTGATTGCTTATTTTTGTGTTATTTTTCGTTTTTGGAGGGTTTTTTTTTTTTGTCTAGTTTTTTTTATACTTTATACATTTCAGTGCATCAGCATACAATAATATATAAGTTGGGTATCACTAATTTAATGAGTTAGTCTTTGTGCTACATTTTAGTGCAGGATTGTAATTGTCATATTTTTATTTTGTCTAGATGTTCCTGATAGTCCTGCCACTTTAATATACAGCACAAAAAATTACACAGTGGCTGAATATAAGAAACCATTCACGATGCAATGCATTTTTGGTGGAAAGTAAGTAAAATTATTTTTTGTAGAAGTTATGTTGGTTTCAATTTATATACACCAAAAAATGCAAGCATATTGCAGTTGACAAATAATATACAGTGCCTGAAAAGTCTGGGTTCAGAGGTAAAAATTTAAGTCTTATTACAATAAATGCTCAAAATTAATGGTTTTGTATTTTTTAAATTAGATTTTCCTACATGAGAAAAAAATCAATTTGATTTTTTTATTGTTAGTCTTGAAGCTACCTTTGATCTGAAATTAAAAAAGGAGATCAAATCTATATAATAAATGTCAGTGTGTCACTGTGTCACACTTTTCCAACTAGAGTAAACATATCTTACCATTTTGCAATTAGGTCAACTCCTTGAGCAAATTAAAAACATTCTAGGCTGGATCTAGGCCCGCAATCCTGAAATTTCGGATTCCAAGTTTTCATTACTGCTATTGTTTTCAGCAATTTTTTTTTGTGATTTTTTTGCAACAAATTTTTTTCTTGTGTTATAACAATTTTCTAACTTGGAAATAAATTTGGGAATAACCAAAATTAAGTGCGAAATCCACCGAAAGTCATTTGTATGGGAAGTAAGGACCTACATACTTCAAATTGTCTTTAAATTAAGTGACAGCAGAAGAATTATCATTGAACTTTTGAAAGGTGAGTTTAAATATTACTGCAATACTTAAATGCCGCAATCAATTTTGAGTTCTGTACTTTGTTAGCATCTACTCCTCCCTACCTATTGTGATGAAAGCCCAATCAAGAGTCTAGCTTAAATGCCACCCAATAGGGCAGCTTTAAAACTAGTTTTATATAAGAAAAATTCCTACTGACCCAGACTTTTAGGACATCCTGTAACTTAAATCAAAGTTAACTGACTCTGATGAAAGCTTTCTGAATCCTTACCTGATATATTAAGAAGTTAACACTTGAGACCTTAACTGATCTATTTAATCTCTAATTTAAAGCAATCTTAGCTGTTTGGAAGCCAGTTTTCATGAATTGATTAAGTTTATGATAAAAAAAAATTGCTAAAAATCTAGGCATGTTATTTAGATCAAAAGAGAATAAAAAAAATTATAATTAATTTTTACCTTTTAGACTAATTTCTTGAATGTCCCCTTTTATTGTTACCATATTGAATTTTATTTTGGGGCATGTTTAACTTGTGTTAGTTTCATGTCTACCAACTTTCTATTGATCCTGATAGAACAAAAATTTAAGAAAATACCCAATTTGACAAGGGGATGGTAATGATATGAAGATGCTTTTCATTCTTTTATTATTCACATTGAAAATTGAAATGTGACCGTTTTTAGTTTCAAGTTGAAATACATTCATCAAGCCATCTCATGACTCGGCCCACTACAACCCTGTTCAAGTCTCTCATCTAATGAACAGGCGTGGTCATTAATTTATTAATAACAATGAGCAATTCTATTGTCCTGAAGAGATTTTAATTGTTAAATCCCTGGAGTCCTGATCAAATTATTGAAAAATGTCTTAAAAACTGTTCAAAATCAAGTCTTACAAGTTGATTTTACAGGAAAGTAAATTGATATTTCTTTCAAATTAGATCAAATTTATCTTCCTTGGTATTATTGGTCATGAGATATGGTTTTTTACAAAGTTTAGTTTTCAAGTTGATCATGTGAAAGGTAGAACTGCATTTCAATAGTGTTGACTCCCAATTAACAGTGCATTCATCTGCTCCCAAATTGTAGGAACATGAAATTTGCAAGACACATTTGGGCATTCTCACTTTAGAGATTTTTCTTCTTCATTTTGAATATAAAGTTATATAAGACAAAGGAGAATGAAAACAAGTTCACCTTGTTGTCATTTCTATGATATTCATTTACTTACTGACAAGTACAGCATCTGTCTTGGTTGTATTTTGATTTGCTATACTGTTCGGTTATACAAGTAAAATAAAGATAGAGAAAGTTGTTTTCTACCAGGAAACTGATTTTTTTGATTTTTCTTTTAATGCCCAGATGTCTTGGACAGTTTGCCCATGACATCTATGATAGTATGTTAAGTGTTATTTTAACCAAGAAGTTGGAAATCAGTAATCAAATCAAAGGCTTTACCTTCCTAAACACCTACCATTATTAGCTGGGCCTCAACTTTGACAAGCATTTGCGGTTGGGTTTGAATTGAAGCTCAATATACTCAGCCCTCAACAAGTAGACAATCATAGGGAATCTCTGATGCCTGTTGTAGGGAATTACTGAGGGAGTCTGAGCAATTTTTATTACCAATCCTATGTATACATGGTATTTCCATTTTATACGTGGTCTTGTCATATTTTCTTTGAGTGTATATGCAGATAAATAATATGCTTTTATGGAAATTTTTTGCAGGGAGTGTGGGTGGAAATTTACTTTTTACATCTTAAATAAATCTGAATCCATGAAAATTTTTGACTTTTTTTTTTTTTTTTTGCAGGCCAGTACCAGAAGTTAAATGGGAAAGGCCGTTCAGTAATCAGTTCTCAAATAGGTTTAGTAAAAATAGAAATAATGAAATGATAATTAGCTCTGTAATGGAAGATGATGAAGGTGTTTACAAATGCACAAGTGATCGGAAACTTGGTAATCCCATGACTATCTCCTTTTTCATTGATGTTAAAGGTGAGTATGTATATGTGTGTGCATTTTATCCTTTTACTCTCCATTCTGTTTTCCTTTATCCTTTTACTCTCCGTTCTGTTTTCCTTTATCTATGTACCAACTTTAATTTTTAGTATATGCTGACTGTTTTCTTGTAGTACCAATTTTTAAATAACTGTTACTGTTTTATATTATCCACAACCCAAAGCAACTATTGTGACAGTAATTAGTTGTCTTGACTAGACCTTATAGACATTAAGATCTAAACCTCTGTTTCCACAACATTACTTTGTCTGTTTTTCTGTTGATAAGAATGTTTTCATATTTTATCTACAGATTTGTAAGTGACAAGAGTTATCTATGTAAAATGTGTGTGGAAATGAAATACCCTTGACCTTTGCAGATGACCTCTAGGTGTATGGCCATCCTTTTATGTCCTTTCAGAAGTTTACATTAATGCTGTCTCATAAGACACTTGAGGATGAAAAAGAGCTTGATACTTTAATTCAATTTAATTTTAATAATTCTATTGAAGTTTTTGGCTCCTGTTTTTGAAACATGAGAACTTTTATGTAGCAAAGGAATAATATTTTTAAAAAATAATTATAATTTAGGCTCTACTTATGTATCGAGCACTTTTTTCTTTTTTTTTTTTTTTTAAATAAAAACAAAATACTAAAGAACTCCGGATTATTTACTTAACGTGTTCTTTCCTATTTTTCTATATATTTGCACACACACACACACACATATATATATATATATATATATATATATACACACACACACACACACACACACACAGTCTATTAAGAAAGTATTTTGGTTTTGGGCAGAAAAATTATCATTCCAGATGCACAAGTTTAAGGGTCTTATTTTCCACTCCAAAATGGAATTTGATGCTTATATCCCAACTAATAATTACTGAAAATTTTCAGACAATAACCATTGTGCTTATCTTGTATTCAGTCAGTTAAGTGCCATACATGATACATACTTGAGCAATCATGTCTCTTTCAATTCATGACTGACTAGGCAAAAGACTTTTCCTGCAATAGGTTGCCATTTCTTTCTGCAATAGGCTAGTTGCTAACCATTGCTATAGGATCTAGTCTGTCCTGCTATTCAATCCATTACTGGGGGAGAAAAGATGGATTCATACATTTCCCAAGGTATTTGCATGTAAATGAATGCAATGAACCCAACTGGAATTTGAACTCGGCTCTACAATTTCTCATTTCAAGCTGCTATTACACTAACTGCACATGGATTAAAATGACTTCTTTTTTCTTGTTCTTTTTAATAAATAAACATCTTAATAATTATTTAAACTTGGAAGAGCAATACAATAAATCAGGCACAAAAAATGATTCTTTTAGATACCTCCAAAGAAAAGCCATACTTAAAGTTTAAAATTCATTTTTTTGAAATGAACAAATTTTTTTTGGTGATCTTATTTTAGTTTTAATTTCAAGCTAATAGATTAAATTTAATGTCCAATAAAATACATTTCGGTATTTCAAACTGAATTTAAATTTATGGGAATCATTTTTTTTTTTTGTTTTTTGGGGGGTTTTTTATATCAGTAAAAACACTAAAATCATCCATACTTACAAATCTGTCAACACAACATAATTTAAAAAAAAAAAAAAAAATTTAAAAAATATAATATAATTTTCTGAAAATCTGAGGAGGATTAGCTGATTAAAAGTTTAATTAATCTGGTTTGAAACAAATATTACTTAATTTTAACTTAAAATATTGTAGAAAAGCATTTTTGACACAGGTGGGTGTTTTTCTGATACTTTTATGTTTGGGAATTTTTTGAAGGGGAACATAACTAAAAATTACTTGACAAATATAATTATTGCCTTTTTTATATAATGTTTTAACTAGACTTAAGAATTTAAAATATTAGTAATTTAATATTTTATTAAATTTTAGGTGCTTGGCTTTATAGACTTATTTACAAAGATGCTTGTTGAGAAAATTGCCAATAAATTTTAAATTTTTTATAGTTGTCACTCTTATTTTTGTTATTTACAAAAATTGGTATGTTTATGCACACAAAAAAATTCAAAATTATTTTTAAAATACTGGAGGTCACTGAATTGTAGTGAGCTTTTTCATTTATGGCAAGTAAATATAGTTTTTACTTAATGACAATACCACCTACCTGCTACAAATTAATGTAGAACTTTAAAATTTAAAAGTTTTAAAAATGAAAACAATTCTTGTAAAAATTCATCAAAAAAGATTTTTCTGAAGACAATAGTGCCCATAATATATCTTACTTATAAAAGCAATTAAAAGCTTTTCTGATTAAATAATGTATTAGTTTTATTTCATTTTTTTATTTAACAATTCAGAACAGATTTTCTGCAACTGGAGGTCTGTTTGACAAAAAAAAAAACTGATTTAAATTCTCCAAGTAATTTGTGCCTATAACTTATATAAACATTAAGCTTTACGAAAATGTATTTCTCAACATATCATAAAATTAAATGGGGGGAGGGGTAACAGATGTATAAAAAAAAAAATATTTTTTACCAACATTTTCTAAAAAATAAATGTTTCTAAAATAATTTCATTCATTTGTGAATAAGTTCTGAAAGTTTCATTGAAATGTGACAATTATCAGATTTTTGCAAGAATTTCAAAATCAATGTTTTTCACCACAAAAAGATGCTAAAATTTCCCATACTAATTTGTAGTCACCTGTTGATTCAAGAAAAATAATTTTTAACCAGAATTTTAAAATATTCTAAGAATTCTAAATGTTCTAAACTAGGTTCTAAGATGTAATAAAAATATAATTTAATAAAAAAAAAATCTTTTGGCCTTTCTTCATAATAACAAAAAAAAATTGATGATAAAACTGTTTTTATTAACTTTAGGGCATTTTTTTCATCATGTTTGCTCATATTTTAGCAAATCTTTGGAGGTACCTACTTTTAATTATGTTTAATTTAGTACAAATCCTTTAAAAAAAATGATTGTCTATCACTATGAAAAAGCACCTCAATAATTATTGAATTCTAACCTTAATTATCCATGATTTTTTTTTTTTTTTTTTTTTTTTTGAGGCTCATTTGAAAAAATGCCATTTAGAGATCTTGCCAGCTGACCTAATCTGCTTTATGAGTTTGGGGCATCAGATTCTTACCCCTCTGATCTTTTTGTCACTTTTTTTCTTTTTTTTTAACCTACTTAGATTTAGATTTGAATTCATGCTTGAATGAACTATATCATTTCTTTATTTCTTTTTACAGGTCCACCAATCTGGGTAAAGAAGCCTAAGTCTCTACTAATTGCTGAGGGCCAGGATGGTGTGATCCACTGTGATGCCCGGCCTTTGAAAAACGAGAAACCTCTACAAGTGCCCAAGTGGTTTAAAAATGGAAAATCATTAACCATTAGTCCTGGTGGCAGTGAGTATCTTGAAACCGTTTTTCTGAAAATACATTATTCTATGCTTGCTAACCAAAATGCTTGAAAAATCAAATGATAGACTTATTTTTCTGAAATCTGTTAAGATAGTTAAGTTTGTTTCAAGCTCCCATGTTCAGTTTAATACAAGTGGGTGATGAAAACTTATTCTAACCCACTTTCTAAAACCTCATCCAATAACCAAATATTTTTTCTTCTTGGTCAGACCTTCATAAGATTAGGTATGGACAAAAAATATTCTAATTCAGGCTTAAGACTAGGATGAAATTCTACATTTTAAGACTATGCATAATGTTTAGGACTTGACAAGTGAAAAAAAAAAATGTCAATTTTTTTTTTTTTTTCTTGCTAATCTTATTAAAAAAAAAATCCCTATCTTGTAACATGGTAGATTATAAAGAAAAAAATTACAATGATTGCAATTAAAATAAAAATAAAGAAAAAAAATAAAAAAAAATAAATTGTTAAAAACAATGGCATCATATATTTTAAATTCAATGAACTTTTTTTTTAATACGAGTATATTTTTCTAATCCAAATAACCTTTCACAAATGTTGTTGTGTGTGAATGGAAATTTATGTTTTTACAGTTTTATTTTATCTTTCCACTTTTTGCTTTTGTCAAGAGATAGTTTTTATAAAGTTGTTAAAATATAGCTGCCTGATCCAGGATAGAGTGTAACACTACCCAAAAAAAAACCCCAACCCTGACATCATAATCAGAAAAGCAGATAAGTCTGATATTTTGGTTAGACTAAATAAGAATGAATACCAGATCAAATTACAATCTGTCCTCCACTAAACATAAAAAAAACTATATTACTTAGGTAAAATTGTTGTACTAGAATCATAAATCTACATCTACCATTTGTCCATGCATTAAATATTGCTGCCACATCTGGTCTGGTGCTTCTGCTATGTATTTAGTGACTTTATAAAATCCAAAGTACTTGCAATGTTATCAGTCCTGACCTGACATCTTGACTTCACTTTCTCACTGCCATAACATAGCTTCCCTGTGCCTTTCTATAAATATTTTCATAGTAATTGTTCTGTTGAGCTTTCCTCTTTGGTATCTAGAATTTATGAATTTAAACATGCTACTAGATTGACAGCTAGACATGTCATTTTACAAACGAAATGACAAGATAAAAGTTCTATGCTAATGTTTTTTCTCACTTGTGGATGAAATTCTATCTTCAGAAATTTAAATACAATGTTAATCATTCAGTTTTCTTAATGTCTGTTCTTTTATTGTTCTCTTTCAATGTTTTTCTTATATTCTTTCATGACTTGATTGCAAAAAATGATTAAAAAAATAAAATAAAAGTAAAAAAAACAATATTCCTATTTTTGAAAGGATATTGGTACATTAAAGTCAATTTTTGTTTTTTACATTTTAAAAGAACACTAAAGTATATTTACATTATATAAAAAATATATATATCTTATAACATGGATAACATATGTTATAAAGAAAAAATAGTGTACAAAGTTTCAGGATACTTATGAGATGTCAACTCATTTTCATGATTCTTTCCTCTTCAAGAAATGAATTTTAAATATTTTCAATAAAATAAATATATATATATATATATATATATATATATATTTTTAGACTTTTTTTCTTTTTTTTTTTGTCATGTGAACAACAGACAACTTGCAAAATGACCTAAAATGACCTTAGACGAGAAAGAAAAGAAACAAAAGGCAAACACCTACCTACACAATAAATTTAAGTACTCAATGCCTAGACGATCTAGACACCTAAAAATGCTTCACAGCCTCAATCAATCAATCAATAAATGAGTAAAAAATTAACAAACAACACTATAAAATAACCACAAAACTGCACTAAGATCCACAATTATTTCCACTCAGTAGCCCCTAGAAAAATTTGAAACCTAATCATTACTACCCACCCAGATGAACGTTAGAATAATACAATGAAACTAGCCATAATGCACCACTGACCAACATATATAAATAGGCAAGCCAAAACATAATTTATATGGCTTGACATTTAAGCATGCAACTGTCACCACTGGTTGTTGACCACAGTGTCCACTTAATTTTCTGACAAGTGTCAGTTGTCTTAACAGTTTAATCAGGTAACTATTTAATCTCTAATCTTATCTAATTGCTTGATATAATTTATGTTAAGTTTATTAGTAGTACATGCAAAACAAACAAAAACAAAAAAAAAACTGATAAAACAAATTCCTAATTTGTTTTCCTAATATATTTTGTAAATACTTGCAAATTTTAAATTTCATCACTCTTATAATTTGTAATTAGTTTTTTAGTTTAAAAAAAAATTAAATATAATGTGGTAAGCATATTTTCTGAAATTTAGTTATGAGGAATGCAGTTGATTTGGACTGAATTCTATATTTGTAACAATTAAATAGCAGTGATGATGACATGATCAGATATTTTTGTTCTCTTCTTGGAACTCTGTTATTATTGATTAGTATTTTATATTCATGTACACCATATGTGCTTTTTATGACTTGTTATTTTAACTTTTTAACATTTTCTCTTTCTTTTTTTGTGCCTGTTATAGTTAATGGCCGGACTGAACTCTCAAATGATGGCAAGACACTGACTATCCATGATGCCCAAAAAAAAACTGATATCTGTAATTACCAGTGTTCTGTTTCAAATGATCAAGGAGAAATTTTTGCTGATGCTGCCTTCAATGTAATTTGTAAGTACAGTTTTTTGTCTTTAATTCAATTTAATGAAGTTCCAACTAAACATACCACTAAACATACCATTTGCAACAAAGAATTTATGAAGATCCTTAATAGATTAATATTGCTTATTGAGCATAAAATGGCAAAAGACACTTTCAATTCAACATTATAACCATCTAGTTCTCACAAGACATTTCGAGATCTTCTGAGCTCTTCTACACTTTTCGCATATGTTTTCAATTTCATAAAATGATTGAAATAAAGACCCAATTTTTTATTTATTTTAAAAACTTTCAAAAGTAAAAAAAAAAAAAATGTCTAATTTTATTCTAGATTTGATCAGTTACTTGATGTTTTTTTTTTTTTTTTCTCTTTCTCTTCTTCAGTGAATACCGAGGTTTTAGTGGCACCAGAAAGTCAGACAATTGACAAAGGTGAAGTGGTCATGTTTAACATCAAAGCCATTACTGATCCATTGAAAGAGAAAGTTATGACATACACTTGGATGCTGAATGGACGTAAAATCGAATTCTTGGATCTCTACGATATTTACCTCTTGCAAAATTACTCTCTGGTGGTGAATACAACAGGAATGGATGAGAATCGTTTCCAAGTTGTACTTGGAAATTATTCAGTAAGCATTAATAATGGAGTGGAAATTGTCACCAGGTACGCATCCCTAATGGGATATCCAATGAAGGGTGAGTATTTTTTCTTTTATTGTGCATGAATACACATTGAAAAACAATATGTATTATTTTAAGTTTAAAAAAAAAAAAAAATTAAAAAGAAAATAATAATAATCTTCTAATATTTTTTTTTTAATCATTGTGCCCCAAACAAGGCAATAATGCCACTAAGACACAAAGGGTTACTTGGAGGGAAAGATAATGAGAAGATTTTAGGAGAAGGAACCGAAAACTTAATCCTAAAGAGAAAACCAGATATAAACTCTCTACTCTTGTTCAAAGGACTGAGACACAGTGTGAACCAGATAAGTAGACCTGTCTACACCTGTTGAGAAAAAGGAAAAAAAAAAATTAGAGATTAAAATTTAAAAATAGAAAAATAAATCCAGACAACTGATTTTTTTTTTTTTTCAATAGATGATGATGCTAGTAGTAATAATAATATAGAGTTAAAATTTTCTAAAGTAAATTTTAAGTAATTATTAGTTTTACTTCATCTTATGGCTTTTAATACATGCTTAATTTTATTACTTGTATTGGATTTTTCTATCACAAGTTTCAGATTTAAGAACACTTCAAATACCATGGCATATGTATCGGTTATAACAGATTTAGTATAGAAGAAAAGGAAGTTATACATAGAATAGGTTGTGCCAGAGGTAGCTTCACCCAACACCACAAACTGCTACAAAACCAAAACATTAACCTGCAAAACTCTAGCCATGTTCTTAAATAGCCTTGTCAGATCAAGATTTTTCATATGGATGTCATGCATGGCACCAAACCTATTTAGAAAAGTCTAAACTGTTAGCTGTATACCACCAATTTCTAAGATCAATGGTTAAAAATGGCTTTGAGCAAGTGAAGCCTGAGGGTCTTGGCAAAGATCATCCTTTGAACTTTGTGGACTGACAATACAGAATCACAAAGAACTGCACCAAATAACAGAAATGACATCATTTAAGGACTTGCAACAAATAAAATGGATATCACATGTAACTTTAAAAGAAAATAATGACATAATCAAGATGTCGACATTCCACATTACTTCAAATAAAAGATTTGAAAGGAAACCCCCATCAATATTGGAAGGAGTGATTACAGCTGCTGGACTTGAGAAACTTTTTTTCCTAAAAAATTGTTTTAAAAGAAAGATTTTATAAATTTCAACCAAAAGTGATACTGACTGCTCAGTCAATGAATGCCAAATGTTTTTATGTGGGGAAATGTTTAATAATGGTTACCATATAATCCTTTTTTTTTTCTTTTTTTTTTTTCAAGGTTAACAAAATTTGAGTTTTTGTTAGTGTTTATCTTAGTTGCACTGTTAAATACTAATCAAATTTTTATTCCATGTAAGTTTGTCTATTGATGTGTAAAAAGAAATGTGCTGGAATAGATTGATTTCCCCTTACCATCCAGTTCTCTCTAAAAATGTATCTTTTCTCTCTTTCATATCTTCTAGATCCTGTTGTATCACAGTCTGGCATGGATTTGCGATGGATTGCCCTTATTGTAGCTGTGGTACTTTTGTTCATCATTTTTATTCTTCTCCTCTGTGTAGTCTTTAATCGGCATGGTGGTGATGATTATTCAGGTAAGTTAAGAGATTTTGATTACTTTACCTTATTTTTTTGTTAGTAAATTAATTTAGCTGCTTCTTCTATGTGCTGTGTCCCTCCACAATTTATTGTTTTTTGTAGCTTTTAGTAAATGTTGTCTTTTTGTTATTTCTCCTAAACCCTGTTCTTACCACCCATTGACACAAGCTTGTTAGGTATATGCTACTTTCTTCTGTACTGCTTGCCTTCACTATGTCCTGTGAGTGTCAAATTTTCCAAACCCTCTTTCCTCATTATGCACCTGAGAAATTTCAACTCTCTTTCTGATGCTATGTATAAGTGTCATTTTTGTTTCTATTTTCTCTAAAACTTTGTCATTGCTGATATGTTCAGTCCGTGATATTCTCAACATGTTTTTGTAGAAACACATTTCTGTTGTTTCAAGTCTCTTCATCTGCAAAGCGATTATTCAGCATTCACTGCCACATAGAAGAACTGATATTACATAAGTTCAGTACTCTTTTCTAACAAAAATTTCTTGTTTCTTAATAATTTTATTAGCTTTTGGAAGACATCTTTCATTATTGCACTTTCTGTCCTCTGTTAAAACACTTGTGTGTATGTTTTAAAAAGATATATCTCCTGTTTTTATAATTCTGTATGCTTGTGAATTTTAACTGTCAAATTTTGTTTGTAATTTACAAAAATTTGATTGTAAACTTTTGCAATTGCACTGTTTTGTTTTATAAAAGTTTTTAAAGATATCAATATTTCTAAAATTATACATTTATAGCAAGCACCTTTGCACAGACTGCCTTTTTATTATTTTTTTGTATTTATTTATTTATTTATTTTTTTTTTTTTTTAAATTAATGCTACTTCTGAACCAAAACTTTCCAGATTTCATCCCAAAGCAAGGATGCTGATACATAAATACATATACATTCACAAGTGTGCACAAACATGTACACACAATAAAATCTGGCAAATAATGGTTTAGAACTGAATTTATGAGGTGTATATGGTGTTTTTGGTGCAAGAGTTATCTCACATCAGTTTAATGAAGTACAATTTTTAAGAAAAAAAAATTGAGGAGGAAAACATTCCCATGATTATGAAATCACATCCCCTTAATTTAGTGTGAGCATAGGAATCAACACTGCATAACAACTGTCAGTTACACAACTAATACAATCTTCAGACATGGTTGAGGCATAAAACCAGTACTCACTATACATTATTAATTCTTCTGTTCACACTGTCTTTATCAACAAATATTCTATCTCTGATATGGAGCAGGCTTTCATAAATATACCAAATTTTAAATTGTGTTTATTATTATATATATATATATATATATATATATATATATATATATATAAAGAAAAGTGTTTCTGTCTGATAGACCAGCAGATAGTTCCTTTTGAAGATCAGTCTTCTAAGTGGCACCTCTTTTATCAAAAGGAATTAAAGGATTATATGAAGGATTTTTGGGCATCAAGTGGCAACAAAGCCAGAAATAGGCTATATCCATGCTTGGGATCAGGGAAAATTCTCATCCACTTTCCATTCACTGTGCTGTTCCAAAGCCTTAATTTTGTATTACCAGCCACTACATTGGGATGAGTAGATGGACAAAGATTTTGTAGTGGGGAAGAACTGACATAGCAGAAGTTGTCCCAAGTATCGCCGAACTATCCACTTGGATGAGCAGGGGATGACCTAAATAAATACCTACATATAATATGGGCAACAGAGCTTGTATTCTTATTTCTCAATGTCGCTGTTTTCTTTTATTGTGTCAGCTTGTGAGCTTCCTCAGCTTCCATTGAACACCAAGATCAGAAATCTGAATGCAATGTGGAGTGATCATTTCTTGGTCAGTAGAAAGCTTGGCCGAGAGTTGCATTCTATGTTTACAATCTAATTAATTAACTAAAGCAAGTTCATCACCACCAAAACTATTAACTTTTTTGTTCTTCTGCTTAAATTTAATTTTTACACCATTTGTAAATTAATTAAATGACAAATATTTATAGGATATCAGAGGTGCCAATTTTAAAAATCTATCAAGTTATTTTTATCTTTATAGATGCATGTCTGGTAGTCATACTTGTGTAACAGATATGCATAATCTTAATCTTAAATACTGTCTATAATGTGAAAGAAATGATACTGAACCTATTGTGTGTTTATTTAAATCATTTTCATTTTAGTGGATAAAAAAGAACGGAAGGCAGGCCATGACCCTGAAAAAGAACTTGCTGACAGTGGTTTTCATGATCTTCCCCGCGCGTAAGTTTTTTTTTTTTTTTTTTTTTCTCTTCACTTTCATCTGCAAAATGTATTTACACCTTATCCACCCACATTTAGGTTAAAAAGGACAGAATTGTTCACCCAAGTATTCCTTATATTACACAATCAGTATCTCTACATAAAGTAGAAAGAAATATTTTTTTTTTTTAAAAAAAACCAAAAAAAAAAACCAAGGTTTTACTTAGGAAATCTTTAAATATTATTTTAATGCTATATGTACTTTGGTGCAGTAATTTCTATAGATTTTCTATGTAAAATTTAAAAAAATTACTATATTGATTTACCTTTTTATTATAGTTTTTTTAATACTATTTCCTTAATATTCATTTAGTCTTTACTATGATGATGAACTACATTGGCAGCAAGGCCTCAGGTGTAGATTGTTGTTCAAAGGTCTAGGTGATGGAAGCACCTGCAGGCAAATAGTGAACCCTTCCCAAATAAAAGCAAAATACATTTTTATAGTAAAATACTAGTAATGCATTTTATAGCAAAATCACCAGCATAACATTTGAAGCCATACAGTTGCATTCCATAAAATTGTATTCAAAATAATTAAATTTCAACATTAAATAACACATAGAGGTTGATATGCTGCTAAACAAAACCAACCAACCAACCAACCAACTGAGAGAGAGAAAAAAAAGATGTTCTGAAAATAGCCAGATTGTGTACAATCAGAAATACTTGGTACATGATAATTTATTCTGCCATCATTCAAATTTCTTCTCTTTTGTCCATTTCTCTGACTGAACATTGGCCTTGCACTTTTCATCAGATATAACAGAAGAAAAATATGCTTTGTACTACATAACCCACATGAGATGTTAATGTGCCAAAAAATTATATTGAAACACTTCATCCCCTTTGTTACAGCTTTTTAGATTTTTTATAAGACTATTCTAAAAAAACAAAAAAAATTATTTTGGGTTTTAAGTTTTGTTTTTATTTCTTTTCTTATTTTTATTTATTTTTATTTATTTTTATTTATTTATTCCTTCCTCTCCCAACCATTAATTATTTAAAGTCTCTGCTATAGATGTATACAATTTAGGCAAGAATAAACTCTTTAATTTAACTTCAACCACAGTTTTTTGAAAACTAGCAAAAGGTGTTCATATTAATTTCTTACAAAGAAAGGTTAAAGACAACTCTGCATATTATGTCCATCTGCAAGATGTTCGAAATTCTTTCTTCATACAAAGTGTTCAAGATGTAGCTGTGTTTTTAGTGATAATAAAATTTTGCACTGCTTTCTACTATCTTGGGTACACTAAAATGATTTTGTTGAATATCTTTGCCAACTGATTGATTTGGAATGATGGAAGAGGCATAGGTAGTTTAAATATCTGCAGCCTAATGATTAGGGGCAGAACATTCCTTTTAAAAACATTCATTTTTCAATCTCTTTCCTCGTCAATGCACTTAATTCACTGGTGAATATTAATCCCATCGATCAAACATTAAACAAAGAAAATTTCAGCTCAAAATTCAATTGTATTGGGCTGTGGATATCAATGCAATCTCATGTTTTAATATATTTAAATACATGATTTTGTGACTGCTTAGTCACCTTGAGATTGTGATTTGAGTTTTGACAAGGAAAGTATTTGTCAAGTTATAGAGAACCTCTTGCTAAACAAACCAACATTTCTGTTCCTTAGGGTGTAATCACAAAACTTCTAGATGCGGAAAATGAAGGCAAGACTGAACAATTGTGTTCTTACTTAAAATTTGAAATTGGAATAAACAACATGCTGGAAGTAAGAAATTCCTTACCTTTTCAAGCTAAGTCAGTGCTTTTTCTAGGAAAAATAATGAGTTTCAGCATACCAAATAAGTCTGTTAGGCTATAATTCTTTTTAGAGCTCTGAAATGGATTTACTTGAAAATCAGGGCTGATAGGGTTTCTGTTGCTAAGGATAAGACCTACGTAAAGATAAACTGCTACTTTACTGGGTTTTTTTTTTTTTAGTTTGTTTCTTATCAATTCACTCCAAGCAAGGTGGTAATGCTACTAAGATGCAAGGTGCTGCTGGGAGTGAAAGAGAATGAAAAGACTTTAGAAATAACTGGAAACCTCTACTCCTGTTCAAGAGACTGGGGAGGAATGTGAACCAGACGATAGGTGAAACTCTCTACTCCTATTAATAGATTTATCAGAGTAGAAGAATCCTGGAGAGAAGAGATCTGGTTGTGAAATGTCAATTCGGCATAAAAACAAACAAGCCAGGTGAAGACATCTTTCTGATGACTAAGAATCAAACTGTATCTGTCCTGATCAGTTCTGTGAAGACAATGCTTAATAATTTTAATCTTTAGAAACATGAGTAGGTCTTCATCGTAAATCATCCTAAATTTTAAAGTAGATTAAATTTTTTTTTTTTTCTTCCAGAGACGACGACCCTGATAAGCAAAAGCCAGATAATGTCTCAATCTCAAGTACTGCCAAATCTATGGGCAGTGAGACAGACAGTATGGAAGAATATAGTGATGCTGATGCTGGCAGTAGGTTCAATGAAGATGGATCTTTTATTGGAGCTTATCAAGGTCATGAATCGAGAGGGAATCATTCTAATGTCTAGAACTTCAACCAGCTGGCGATGATGGTGATCTTTTGTGCGCACACACATAAATACCCTTTTCTTATTTTTATTTTGTTTTCTGTTCCCTAAAGTCCCTACTTCCATTTACCTCCCTCCACCCTCTTCCCCACGCTCCACACACATTCTTTCACTGTTACCTGATTCGCCACCTGCTAGTTGCACTACAAAACTTTTGATGATGAAATTTTCCGTCAGACTCGTTCAACAAAAGATGAAAAAGTTAAGAGTGGGGGAAAAACAAAAACAAATTTCTAACATCCAGAGGGTTCAAAAATTCTTTCCTTTCTCTCTCTCTCTTCTTTTTTTTTTTAATTCCTTTTCTTTTCTTTTTCTTTTTTTTTTTTTTTTTTTTTTTTTTTTTTTTTGCAAAAAACAAAAATATCTACAAGACATCAGCTGTCTGTCTTTCAATTTTCTCCCTCGTCCCAGTCCTTCTGTAATGTTCCCAACCTAATAACACATTCTATATTTTGCCACCCATTATGTTAATGCTCTTTCCCCCTCCACTAATCACTCTCAGGTTGTCTTCTCACCTGTGCTGCTGGCATCTTCCATCCTGTGGTAAGGCTACTCCATTGCCCTTACATAACTTTTCTTTTCACTTTGATTCCCCACCTCATCTGTTTCATCCCTGGAAAATCTGGATTAAGCATATTAAGTGAGTCTTAAAAAAAACATGGCATCTCTCCTCTTCTACTGAAATAAGAAAATTAGTTTCTCCATTATTTTACAGATTTTTTTTCTGTACATCTTGTTCAGTAGCTTCAAATAACCTCAGCAAAATATAACCCAAATTTTGAAATGAAAAACATCAATATAAAAACTTCTTTTAGTAATCAGGTTTTAGCTAGAATTAATAAACAAGAGTATAAATAGGCAAGGTTTTTTTTCTATAGTTTATATTGTAAAAATTATTTAAATTTATAAAATTTACATTTAACCATTGCATATGTGCTAAATTCTAAAAATGTTTTTAATTTGATTTTTAACTTTACAAGATATTTTTTCTTTTCTAAAATATATCAAATACTTTGGCCTATTGAAAATAGTGAACAAACAAAAAGTATATAAATTTAAGTATTTTATTGTTTAGAAAATAGGTAAGTTTGTTTATTTTTCAAAACTTGTTACAAATTGCATTTTTATCTAACTTTACATGGAGAATTTTCTTGATAAGTATTCTAATTTTTTTTTTTTCTTTAGTTTAAGTACTGAAACCCAATGAAGCTTTCATATACTCACAAATTGGACTTTTAAAATATTCAAATTAAAAATTTTGAAAAACTTGCAAGAAGCACTAAATTGTCTTTGAAGGTTAATATTTATTTAAAGTTTAAAAAGGAATACATGCACAATGCTATTTGCATTTCAATTTTGAAGAAAGAAATTCATTTATCAGTCTAATATAGATGTTTATTATAACTTAATGTATATTAATGGCTTTTGCTTTCAAGTTTATTCCTTGGATGCTCTTATACCAAAATTGACTTTTTTCAACAGATATCTATATTTGTGGCTCTTATGACCTTCAATCGTTTTGCTAGCTTTGCCCGAGACCCCTGTTGGTTTAAGTGAAAGTGGCCTTCTCTTGGGTGTCTTATCTAAACAACAGTGCTTATTTGCTGAACTGATTTAAAAAAAAAAATAAATAAATAAATAATAGAATAAAACACAATGTAATATCTTAAACTCAAAGAGTTTAGCGATTGTTTCTTGTTCCTTCAGAGATACATGAAATCTTTTATATGATCTTTTTTTTTCTAGCCATATATGTAAAGTTGCCAAGTTGGCCTTGAGGAAGTCCTTCATATCACATGTTAATATTAGCTTTTATGTTAATGTAAAGATCCCTAAAGATTACAGCACTGAGAGATGGTTCTTATACTGGTGCTCTAATCTCATGATTAAACTGGCTAACCAAAGTCATTTTGTGTCACATGTCCATATTATGCTGTCTATTTTGACAACTCTGTAGAGGCCAGATTTTTAAGTGACTATATATGGCTGTATAGAGAATGGTTTTGTTTAGTAACTGAGCCTGAAATATACATTCCTATATTGGCAAGAATTATTTACAGGTGATAAAATTTGAGTTTTAAAAAAAAAACAAAGTTAATCCAGATACAGATCTCTAACCTATAGCCTCATAGATATCAATTGATTCACAGAGGATCTTTTTGCTTAGTCATAAATATCACACTCTGAATTGCATCATTGAAGACAACCTTTCACAGGCCTCTTGGATTTGGCTGGTCCTGATCCAAGGAAGGGCTTGCTTAATTTGAATAATTGTTTTTATAATTATTATAATAGAATTGAATCAGTCTTGGGTACATCAGAATTGCAGTGTTTGGAAGATTGGGGTCTTAGTGCCATTTGATTTTTGGTGTTTTATCAACTAGTATTGATGCTTCTCTTGTTGATGCTAATAAACCTTCCATTAGCATTCAGACTCCTTTCACTTTCTCATCTTCAACCCCCACATTATCAGCCTTCCCACTTGCCAGCCAGCTGGGTTTATAGTAGCCCTCTCTTCTTTTTTTGGTATATCACAGGTCCATTATGGCCTCTATCCCTTGACTCTGGGGTCAGGAGGAGGTAACTGTGGAAGAAACAAGGAGCAAATAGACTGGCTGTTTTCTTGTTGTTCTTTTTTTTCTTTGTTGTTATGCATTTCATAAATCAACTTTTTTTTATTTTAAATTATTTTTATCCACCCCAGCAAAAATATGCACACAATTTAAACTGCAATTAACCAGCTTAAATACTAACCAATCATTTACAATATAGATTAGGTAAGCATATAAAAATAGACTTAGAATAATCATGTTTTTTTTTTCTCGTGTTAGTCTAAATATACAATATTTGATGGTTACAACTTAGGAACATTTCTTTCTTTTAACATTTTGTTAAAAGAATTTCTTAAAATCCTAATTTTACTTTATTTGGTGATAAAGAAAAAAAAAATCTTTAAAATAACACTTTTTAAAAATCACATATGGAAATGTTTGTGTGTTCTCAAAGCATACACTAAACAGGAATTTTGCAAACATTTCCTGGTTGATCAGTGCCAAAATATTCTATGCTTGTTAATTTTAAAATTTCAACTTCCTCTTATAAGTTGATGAATGAAAGTGACAACAAAACAAATATTTTTTTAAGGATAAAAGAAAGCAGCAAGTGTGTTTCTCTGGTCTGTTATAAATTTTTGAAAATTTCCCAAGGGAGTCTTTCCACCGTTAGCTCCTCCTCCTTCCAAGCCCTTGTTGCCTACATTGTATAGCCAAGTACACGTTTACAGACCACCACCATAACATTTGAACATATTTGAAATGTATCTTGTTGCATCTAATGCAGTTAAACCAGCCAAGCTGAATTTGATGATGATTCCTACTTCTTGGCCATTCCCCGCCCCCTCCAAACATCTTCCCTCTCAGACTTTTTTTATAAATAGGAATCTCATCTTGGAACTTTCTAGTTTGGTTGGATGCTTTGCATTCTGCTGATTTCTTATACTTTGGACTTAAAGAGAAAATAAACTCTTATGTTGACAAAACATGGACAAAGAATTAAAGAAGAAAATTAAAATGTTTTATATCTGCAAAGATTTTTTTTTTTTTTTTTTTAACTTTTTTCTTATTGGTATGATTTTATTTATTTTTTTAATTTACTATTTTCAGCTACACAATCATACCTGTGTATTATTTTTTTATTATTTTATTTGGATTTTTAATTATTTTTTTAAAATTTTTGTTTCTTTCTCCACTTTCATTTAAAAGAAAAACAATTAAAAAAAAATTGCCCATCTGTGTAGCTGTTTGTTTTTCAATAGGGTAGTGGTCTTCTTTAGCAGTGGAGACTACTTCATATTTTGAACAGGATAAAGTTGTTTTTGATAATTCTTTTATGAAATACAGTTATTTTCTTGCTTTACTTTTTTATTTAAAATTTTTTAAGCCCTCATGACTAATCATTTATTCATTCCATTGTTCATATTTTTTCCTTTTTTAAATTTGGCTTTTCCAATTCATTAATTTTAATGCATTCAAAAATTGCCTCCCTTGTAATGCCAGGTCCTGCTTTTTCAGGAAAACTTCTCTCTTGCTAAGATTTCATCAATATAGTTAATATTTTGCTACACTTAGGAACAAACTTTAATGTTCCTCCTGCTTAAAACTTATATTCTTTCAGGGTTTCCCTATAATGTATATTAATCTATGAGTCCCTTCTATAATGTCCAAAAGAGAGCAAGATGTCAGATGTCCTAAGTTTTGAGAAATAATGAAAGTTGGTACAATACACCAGTTTTATATATATATATATATATATATATATATATTTAATTGCATTTAAAGAAAGGAGTTTCCACTTCCTTTTCTTGTTACTGATATCTCTGCCTCATTTTCTATTTAGCTGAAAGCTGTCAAAAGACTGAAAAAAAATTTGTTCAATTTGTATGAATTTAGAGTTTTTATTGAATTGAAAAACAGAGCATTTTTACTCCTCGTCTATGTACATTTCTATCACATTTTAAGATGAGAAATAGTTATTTTACTTTAGCTTTTTATTTAACTGCATTTAAAAACTTTTCTTTTTTTTTTTTTAATTTTCTACTTGTCCCAACTCATCATAATAGAATTGTGTATTCATGTAATGTGATGCCAGCCTTCATTTATCCCAACTAGGGACCAGCTTTTTTATTTATGCCTTCACCTTTTTAATTTTTTTATTTTTATTTTTTTTTTTTTTTTTTTTTCTAAGTTTTTGAGGACTGTTGGGAGAATTTATATTTTTCTTCTTAATACAGATAATATAATTTTAAAAAAAATTAAATATTTCACTCTATCTTAAATATAAAGACAAATTGTACTATATGTTTAAATAATTAGCTACATATACAAATAATTTATATTTTTTTCTTAATGGTTAACTTATTCTGGGAATGGAAATGAGCAAAGAGAAATGTATAAATAATAAATAGCAGATATTTTGTGTGTGTGTGTGTGTGTGTGTGGTGGGGAGGTAGGAAGAATCCCAATAAACAAACAAAACTGCTGCCTAAGATTTGCATCGTACAGGCATTAAAATTCTCAATCCCAAGTGGCCTTCAGATATATTTTTAATTTGTTATTGAAGTTTTTCTTTAAAGTTACCTCCCCCTCCCACTTTTCCTCTGGATTAACAAGATTTTTTTTTAATGATTCCTTACAAGTAAAGGATGTTTTCCTTTATTTCCATGTTATTCACTGAACTTATCAAGTGATCTTTTTAAACTGCTGCTCTACAACACTATGAATGTTTGTGTGTGTGTCTGTGTAATTAAACTCCCTACCCACCCTGCAATTAGCTTAAGTTCTTTACTGCTGTGCCATTATTTTACACTTAACCCTTACAATTAGGCATCAGCCATGAGTTTTGAAAGATCTTTTGCATTTCAACTGCTACAATTTTGCA